AGGATATGTTTCTCGTTTATGGAGGTGACAAAGAGCTCGCCGTAAATGGTTACGTCGATGCGAGCTTTGACACTGATCCGGATGAATCTAAGTCACAAACCGGATACATATTTTTATTGAATGGGGGAGCTGTCAGTTGGTGCAGTTCTAAATAGAACGTCGTGGCGGGATCTACGTGTTAAGCGGAATACATAGCTGCTTCTAAAGCAGCAAATGAAGGAGTCTGGATGAAGGAGTTCATATCCGATCTAGGTGTAATACCTAGTGCATCGGGTCCAATGAAAATCTTTTGTGACAATACTGGTGCAATTGCCCTAGCAAAGGAATCTAGACTTCACAAGAGAACCAAGCACATCAAGAGACGCTTCAATTCCATCTGCGATCAAGTCAAGGAAGGATACATAGAGATTTGCAAGATACATACGGATTTGAATGTTACAGACCCGTTGACTAAGCCTCCCTCACGAGCAAAACATGATCAACACCAAGACTCCATGGGTGTTAGAATCATTACTGTGTAATCTAGATTATTGACTCTAGTGCAAGTGGGAGACTGAAGGAAATATGCCCTAGAGGCAATAATAAAGTTATTATTTATATTTCCTTATATCATGATAAATGTTTATTGTTCATGCTAGAATTGTATTAACCGAAAACTTAATGCATGTGTGAATACAAAGACAAACAGAGTGTCCCTAGTATGCCTCTACTAGACTAGCTCGTTAATCAAAGATGGTTAAGTTTCCTAGCCATAGACATGTGTTGTCATTTGATGAATGGGATCACATCATTAGAGAATGATGTGATGGACTAGACCCATCCATTAGCTTAGCACTATGACCATTTTAGTTTATTGCTATTGCTTTCTCCATAACTCATACATGTTCCTACGACTATGAGATTATGCAACTCCCGAATACCGAAGGAACACTTAGTGTGCTATCAAACGTCACAACATAATTGGGTGATTATAAAGATGCTCTACAGGTGTCTTCGATGGTGTTTTTTGAGTTGGCATAGATCGAGATTAGGATTTGTCACTCCGATTGTCGGAGAGGTATCTCTAGGCCCTCCCGGTAATACACATCACTATGAGCCTTGCAAGCAATGTGATTAATGAGTTAGTTACAGGATGATGCATTACAGAACAAGTAAAGAGACTTGCCGGTGATGAGATTGAACTAGGTATGATGATACCAACGATCGAATCTCGGGCAAGTAACATACCGATGACAAAGGGAACAACATATGTTGTTATGTGGTTTGACCGATAAAGATCTTCGTAGAATATGTAGGAACCAATATGAGCATCCAGGTTCCGCTATTGGTTATTGACCAGAGATGAGTCTCGGCCATGTCTACATAGTTCTCGAACCCGTAGGGTCCGCACGCTTAACGTTCGATGACGATATGTGTTGTGAGTTATGTGATTTGATGTACCTAAGGTTGTTCGGAGTCTGGAATGTGATCACGGACATGACGAGGAGTCTCGAAATGGTCGAGACATAAAGATTAATATATTAGAAGGTTATGTTTGGACACCGGAAAGGTTTTGGATAGGTTCGGGCATTTTCCGGAGTACCGGAGTTTACCGGAACCCCCTGGAGGGTTAATGGGCTTTCATGGGCCTTAGCGGAAGAGAGGAGGAGGCAGCTAGGTGGAGGCGCCCCCCCCCAAGCCCAATCCGAATTGGGGTGGGGGCTTTCCTTCTCTCCCTCTTCCTCTTTCCTTCCCCTCCTAGTTGGACTAGGAAAGGGGGGAACCTACTCCTAGTAGGAATTGGATTCCCCCCTTGAGGCGTGCCCCATGAGGCCGGCCGGCCCCCTCCTCCCCTCCTTTATATACAGGGGAGGGGGCACTCCATAGACACACAAGTTGATTTCTTAGCCGTGCGCGGTGCCTTCCACCACAGATTTCCACCTCGGTCATATTGTCGTAGTGCTTAGGCGAAGCCCTGCGCCGGTAACTTCATCATCACCGTCAACAAGCCGTCGTGCTGACGAAACTCTCCCTCGGCCTTAGCTGGATCTAGAGTTCGAGGGATGTCACCGAGCTGAACGTGTGCAGATCGCGGAGGTGTCGTGCGTTCGGTACTTGATCGGTTGGATCGCGAAGACGTTCGATTACATCAACCGCGTTACTCAACGCTTCCGCCTTCGGTCTACGAGGGTACGTAGACACACTCTCCCCTCTCATTGCTATGCATCTCCTAGATAGATCTTGCGTGATCGTAGGATTTTTTTTGAAATACCGCGTTCCCCAACAGTAGCACGTATGTTTGTACCAGTCTTCGCCCACTATAAACATCAAAAGGAGGCTTAGTTACCCTCCAATCAGACATAGAGTTGTGTCAGTAACTTGAACAAGGGGAACAAATTTCTCTTCACCAAGCCTTCAGGTTCTATTTCCTCGCACTCAATTTACTTTTGTACTTTGTATTCCGAAGATCTTGCTCCCTTTATGTTCTCTATTGCGAAGACTTTGATGTATCCCTTTCTATTCCGCGGCATGAGCTATGCCTAGTTTAGTCATCGCTATGCTCCATGCGTCCATGCTTCTGCTTTTGTCTTCAACATGTTAGTGTGTATGTCTGCTAAGTACTTTGTTGTCTGTGTAGTTAGTCTTCATTGTAGTATTTGTCCGTCCATTTTGTCTCCGTTAAACTTCGATTAGTTCATTTTATTTGAAATAATTTTCAAAATATCCAATTCACCCCCTCTGTTCCATGACTGCCCTTACACACGCACATGTTGTCTAAATGATCAAGTTAGTCTAAATGATCAAGTCCGAACTTTAGATAATATGTGCCCCTCTTTAACCAGTCGTATAATGCAGTTGTTGTCATTGTTTTGTGCAATCAATTTAAGTCCATGCTCATTGATTTGCACTCCAGGGAGCAACGAACATATATTTATTCTTCCTCCCCTCTCGTACTCCAAATCCTCTACTAAGTCATACAATATCTGACATGCAAATTTTCCTAGCATCATGGAAATCATAAAAGACCTTTCCATTCATATAAGAGATAAGACCTACTCACTCCATTATACAAAAAAAACGTAATGCACTAACTCTACAATGTAGAAGCCAGTGCCTTCATCCGTGAACCGAGGAAAAAACAAAGCTTCAACACAGCGGACTGAAACCCTACAATTCCGAGTAGGCAAATGAGCTCGAATTAAACTTGAATTTAGTATAGAAAATCGTCCGAACACAATTAATTGCTCACTAGCCTCTTCGGTCGACGCCACAATGATGATCACGTCGCACCGCCGCAGGACGTCGTAGTCCTCGAGGATGAGGGAAGAGGCGTTTCGGGTGGCACATGGCTCGAATGGATTTGCGATGTCAGTAGAGGCCATATCGCAAAGGTACAACCATCGGCTGTCGTGGGGTGCGACAGGATTATGGAAATAGATGGGTCTTTTCGCAAGTTGTGCATCGAACATGTGTGGGGGAGGGGAGGGGTATGTGGCAAAGCTGCATCGTTCCAGAGTACACATAACCGTATGAAGGACCATAGATGTGATGTATTTCTGTATTTAGTGGAGCATTTCTTAATTTAGGGACGGGTATGATAAACGAATGTTATAATAAGCGCGTAAGTTGGAGGTCATTTTTTTTGTGCAAATGCTAGCTTTATATTGTCTTTTTAGTTTCGTCAGATCGGTGTTTACAAGTTATGAAAACGTATTACCATGAAAAAAAACGCTCGAGGACAAAATGTTTATTGGACGAGTCTACGTAGCGGCCGGCTGCTCGCTGGCATGCGCGAGCGGCCGGCCTAAAATAGAAATTCTTTTATCCGCTAGCGTCTGCTCTGCATAGACATGCATGTGTGTAATTTTTATCCGCTAGCGCATGTATCTTTTAGCATTTAATACATTCACAATCAGTTGGAAAAAACAGATCACATATGCATTTATTTCAGTTTTTAAATTTTTAAAAAGCTATATCTTCCAAACCGCACGTCAGAATTAAGATCCGTTTTCACCGCTGGAATCCTCGCAACGTGCTCTTCAAAACTATATCCCGCATGGGGATGTTTCGACGAACTAGTCTTCCTGCCAACTAAACATCAATGTGTGTGCAACTAGACTAGATTGCCGCGCCAATTGAGCATATGTATGTGTGCCAAAAAAGTCCCGCCAACTAAACATCAATGTGTGTGCAACTAGACTAGATTGCCACGCCAACTGAGCATATGTGTGTGCAACTAGTGTTCTGCCAACTAAACATCAGTGTGTGTGCAACTAGACTAAATACAAGCCAACTAAGCATATGCGTGTGCAATAAGTCTTTCTGCCAACTAAACATCAATGTGTGTGCAACTAGACTACATTACAAGCCAACTAAATATCAATGTATGTGCAACTAGACTACATTACAAGCCAACTAAACATCAATGTGTGTGCGACTAGACTACATTACAAGAGGAAGTTGCACATCGACTTTCGTCGAGGCAATAGACTAGTCGCACATCAAAGTTGTCGTGGTTGCTAGGTTGTAACCTCATACGAAGGCGCAACTCCAAACATTAGTTTTGGAAAAAAGTTGCACGATGTAGTAATAAAGTTACACAATGCAGTAATAGAGTTGCACTATATAGCTCCAAAGTTGGCATCGAAAAAAATTCGTCAAAATATACCCATGCGGGATCTAGTTTCAAAGATCTCGTCGCGAGGATTTCAATGGTGAAAACAGATTTGAATTCCGACGCGCGGTTTGAAAGATATAGCTTTTTGAATTTTTAAAAACCCGAATAAATGCAGATGGATCTGTCTTTCTTAAACTAAAGGAGCAGTGTGAACGTATTTAATGCCACGCCTACATGCACTAGCAGACAAATAAATTACCACATGCATGCGCTGTGAGAGCCGGCCGCTCGGTTCGACCAAAAAGTGCGCGGCCACTTTTTAGATTTCAGGATGTTTATTTTCCCATTTTAAGTCGCATACGGTGGGTGGACAGTGGCGAGAGTGCAAAACCTTCTCGCGCTAATGGCGACCACTCCGCTCGCGACTGCCTCTCCCTATCCATTCCCCTCTCTGCTCTCCAAAACCCTAAACCCCACCTCCACCTTCAAGCTCTCTCCTGCTCACTCCCTCTCACTCTCCCTCCTCACCACCCCAGCGCCCCTCCTCCTCCCCCACAGGCAGGGCCGGCGGCAGCGTGACATCTCGGCGGCGTACGGTGACGGCGACATGGACGACGACTTCGGCGATGCGGGCGACTTTGACCTCGACGGAGACGACGGTGTGGGGGACGACGACGACCTCGACAACGAGCAGGACTACGACGTCGACTACGACCGCCTCCTCGCCCCCGTCAAGCCTCGGCCGCAGCTCTCCGGGGTTGGCAGCCGAGGCGAGGAAGGGGAGGGGGACATCGCCATGGTCGCGGCTGAGAGCTTCGTGTCCACTGGGGCGTCCGCCTCCGACACCGTCGTCGACTACACCGTCGACGAAGATGAGTTCCACAAGATTCGCCTGCTTCACTGCGACTTCTTCATCCGCAAGGTGCCCGACCCTGACCAAGACGTCTACGACTTCCGAGAGGTATATCCTAGTAATTCACCTCATCAACTACATTTTCCAGTAATTTCCTGCTCTATTTGAAATAGACTATTTCACCATTCATGTCTGCAAAAATGCGTTTGGCCTATGTGACATTTCATCTAACAGACCAACATGTCAATCGATGGCAATATTAGGACAGCTGACAACTACTCCCTCCAATCCATATTAATTGTCGCTGGTTTAGTACAACTTGTACTAAATAAACGGCAATTAATATCGATGGAAGGGAGTAGTAATCTTTAAGCTAACTGTGTGGTGCTTGTTCTGCTCAATATGGCATTGTGTGCAACAGATGTATGTCACACCGCCTGACACCGACATCTACTCCATTCCAAGGGTTCTTGCCCCGATGCCACAAAAGGTGCACATATCTTGCTATTTCTTATTTTTGGTGCATGTAAAATGCATTAGGTTATTAATTGTTGATTTTCTCTTTGAAATTCAGTATGTGAGGTGCGCGAAGAAAAACTTTGGCCGCTACCATGTAAGTGAGCCACCGGTTGAGCATCTGCGTGATCCCCTGTACAAGACAGAGAGGGAGATTATGAAGGTATGTCTGAGAACTTTGCCTACTCTGCTAGTTTGTTGTGCCATTCCGTTATGTTCCTTCTGTTGTAAACCAAATGAACTGGCTGAATGTGGCTTGGGAATTAAGTATTTAACAGCCATAAAGGTTCTGAAGTTCTGTCCAGGGTTTTTGCTAGGGATGCAAGCAGTGGCCCGCTTGTCCTGCTAACCATGCCATTTAAGTGTACTAATGGCCTCAACATTTGTACTAGAGTGAGCTAGTATGTGGGAAACTGGGTGTGCTGCTTGCATCCTTAGTTTTTGTCACTCGATTTGCAGTAGTAATGCATCATAGTTGCTTGGTGAGACATGTCCTTGCCAATGGTAGTTTTGACTTGTGAGGTAAAATTAATCTTAATATGCATATCCAATTGAAGAGAAGCTTGTCCAACATCGTCTGAGATGGTTTGGGCATATTCAGCGCGGGTCTCCAGAAGCTCCAGTGCATAGCGTACAGCTAAAGTGTGCTGATAATGTCAAGAGAGGTCTGGGTAGACTGAACTTGACATGGGAGGAGTCCGTAAAGAGAGATCTGAAGGACTGGAGTATCACTTAAGAACTAGACATGGACAGGGGTGCGTGGAAGCTTGCTATCCATGTGCCAGAACCATGAGTTGGTTGCGAGATCTTATGAGCTTCAGCTCTAGCCTACCCCAACTTGTTTGGGACTAAAGGCTTTGTTGTTGTTGTTGATGATGCATATCCAAGCTTCGGTTCACGTGAAGTTAGCAGTGAAACTCCTGAAAAACATCCCGCGTGGCAGATTCTACACTTCTTATAGCTTCTTTACGGGATGTGCAATGCATTGTTTATTGTCCTCACAGTGCAAATTATTGTAGGTGCTAAAACAGGAAATCAGCAAATAAGTACAATTACTTAGTTAGAGATGCTTAAGCTGCACGGCTACATCAGTGGGTTCTCTACTAGCCAAGCTTTAACTTGATTTCCAGCCCAAGATTTGGGACACTTAACTGTTGTTAACTGCATCATATGTTTTACTGCTTTCACCTTAGTGTGTTTATAGGCGAGCAGTTCTGCTCACTGGACATGCTAGCTTATTGTTAAAAAAAGGGCAGCCCCACTGCATGTAGCTCCCGCTTGCGCAGGGTCTGGGGAAGGGTCCGACCACTTTGGGTCTATTGTACACAGCCTTTCCCTACATTTCTGTAAGAGGCTGTTTCCAGGACTTGAACCCGTGACCTCATGGTCACAAGGCAGCAGCTTTACCACATGCTAGCTTATTGTTAATACTAAATATTCTTTTCCATGATATGATATATTAAGTACATATGCATCTAGCTTCATGATTTTATTAAGTATATGTATTTCATTTTTGTTTCTTCTGCTGTAGGTTTTCTTAACAAAACACTACAGAAACAGGCGGTTCAGCGATACAGATTTTTTCCTTGATTTTGAGGAGATTTATGTCATTGACTCAAAAACAAGGTCAATCACAAGAGCGAAAGTAGTGGTAAGACAATTGAAATCTTAATTCTTTCATGATATGAAAATAATAGTTTCTCTTATGTATTTAAGTAATCATGTACTATATCTTTCGCAAAAAGTAATCATGCATATGGAATCTACTGTAACTAATTTTATACTAGTTTCTCATCTAATCTAAATAGTTCAGCCATCTCACCTATGTGCCTGAAAGATAAGTTTTCACTAGTCATTGTTCATTTGCTCTGTTTGTTTACTAGTGATGATTCTGGATTCTAATCAGATGTATCAATGTCAAATGGTGCAGTTTCTTCTGGATATTACCTGTTATTTGTCACACAATGTCAATCATATTAGTCTTGGTCCATATTTGTGGAGTCTCATGTAAATATTAGTATGATCTGAATTTACTACAGGTCAAGTGTCTTCACAATCAAAATTTATGGTCGGACACTGAGATTCTCAGTCCTTTCATTGATCATTTAATAAATATCCGTAACCCATAAATATCAATTTAAAAAACAAATAAAAACTATTAGCAGCCTGATGATGTCAAGAAACTAGGGTAGGTGAATTGCAGACTTCTCTAACACCAAAAACTTGTTTTTAAGTGATTTTTTTTCTTTGTTAAGTACTCCCTCCGTATCAAAATATAAGACATCATATATTTTGGTGTACTGTCTGTGGTGACTGATATGTAGTCGTCTTTGGCAGGTGAACGTCCCTGAAGGAAAAAAGAGAGATAGGAGAAATGACCTGCTACTCATACGGGATGGAGGCGAGTCTTTCAGAATAACTGACAAGGTGGTTTACTTGCTTCACAATTATTCTCTTGTTAGCAACAAGCTTGTAGAGCTAATTTCGGTCATTGGTATCACAGTCGCAAAGAGACGACGCCACCACTATCATCCAGAGAGAAGAGTGGACGAAATCGAGACAGGATGTGGAGAAGCATTTCCGGAAGCTCAGAGATTTTGACTACTCGAATTGGTTCTGAAGAAACTGCCGTCGAGCTTCGTCTATGCAGAGAAGGATGTGCAGCGATTTTGTTGTTTCTTTAGCTGCTGCTTGTGCTAGAGCTAATTAACCGTGGTGGTCAAGTGAGAACTGCCATGTCTATATATGGTACTCCCTCTTTTCACTTATATAAGACGTTTTAGTAAATTCAGACAGTGTACTAAACAGTTCAAACTCAGCTGTCTGAAACGCCTTATAAAAAGGAACGGAGGGAGTACGTGTAGCATGGTAGCAAGTAGAATCAAGATGTATGCATTTGAGCAGTATGTCTGTACGAAAATTCAGAGTAGCTCTGTACGAAAATTCAGAGTAGCTAATGGGTATTTTATGGTGGATTGAGGCAATTAAGAAAAAATGGGGTGTTCCGAGAATCGAACTCGGGACCTCTCGCACCCGAAGCGAGAATCATACCACTAGACCAAACACCCGGATTGGTTTCTACATTCTACATAATTTTATATACTCCCTCCGTCCCATAATATATTATGGGACGGAGGGAGTGTAATGTAAACAAAATTTTATTTCCAAGAAAATACCCATCCCCATCACCAGCGCATCCCCCATGACTTAAATATTGAGGAAACGAGGCTAAACTAATTTCATTGGATGTCAATTCACAGTTCTCCTCGAACCTCTTTGCTTTTTCCTGATTTTTTAAAATGATTCATAGTTGAACATATAAAGCCTCCTAGACTCCTAGGCAGAACCGATGGCTCCAGCGCACCGCACCACCCGAGGGGAAAAAACCACCGCACCGTGCTGCGCGTGGGGAAAAAGAGAGGGCGCACCGCACCACACGAGTGAAAAATACACCGCACCGCGCGAGGGACGAAAACGGCGTCGAACCCTAGCCCCAATCCATATCCCCGCGCCCCTCACTCCTCCCTCCCTCGTCCGCCGCCGCTCCCTCCCACCTCCTCCTCCTGCGCCCTAGGAGCCCCGCCGCCGACTGCTACTCCTCCACCGCCTAGCCTCTTCCTCCTCCTCGCCTTCCCATCGCTCGCGCGCAGGCTGTCGTGGCCAAGCGCTTCGCGGGCTAACCCGTCTCCACCGCCTGCTCTGGGTTCGCGCGGGACGGGCTCCCCCGCCTCTTCCTCCTCGCGGCCGAGGTCGACTCCTCCGGAGTGAGTCGAGGGTGGGGGCCGGGTCAAGGATGCTGTTGGCGGCCTGGATGCAGGCGATGGTGGCGGTCGGCAGGGGTCTGGCGGGCGTGGCGGGTGAGGGAAGGAGCAGCAAGGCTGCAGGTCGTTCCATGGCCGAAGAATAGATGGAAGAGGATGAGTGGACGGATGTGAGGGAGAGGAGGGAAGGGACGGATGGGGGAGGGAGAGGAGGGCCGGAGAACTAACCGCCTCTGCCGCCGCCGGTTGCTTCAGGGGAGTCAGGAGCGAGATGGGGTCGCAGCGAGAGGAGCTCGTCCAGGAACGAGCGAACAGGTACGCGGGGTGTGGGCTGCGAGGCGTTTCCGAGCCTTTCCGAGCTTGTCCGCTCGGAAACCTCGCGCGAGCGGTGTAGGTGCGCTGGTGGATCGCTTGGAAGGCCAAGTTTTCCAAGCCCAAATCTTGCAGGTTTTCTTTCTCTGTGCCTAGGATGTGTTTGATGAAAATCCAAGAAGGCTGACAGGGGAGGATTAATCTATGTAAGTCATGTCATTTCATTTTTTCTGTAATTAGTTGCCTAGCCCAACTTTAAGCTGGAATAAATTCCTTATTTTCACTGAAAATGCCCTGTATTTAACTATTTATTTCTCATGCTTGGGTGATGGCTGACCATGGCATTTTCTTGTTGGTTCAGGATAATTTCTAGCTGCCACTTTGTTTTACCAATTTCAGGTTGCTTCTCCATGAGTTTGGGTGTAGTTGCTTCTGCCCTGCAGCACCTTTGCTCATTGGCCATGTTGATTGCTTATCTTTTGTTCCCTTCACGTCATTTGCTTGCTCAAGATTCATTGTTGTAAAAGGATTGCAATTTTTTTTTGCAGGTCGGTCTCTCTGGTTCTTTTTGCCGATGGCCTGATTTACGCACTGACAACCTCTTACTATAACGATTCGGCATGCTTCTGTTTTAGATATGGGATATGAAGAAGGGGCGTTCAGGTATGTTCTATCATTTCGATCAATGACACTTTATTTTGGTTCACATTTCTTTACAGGTTGTTGTTGTATGCAAAGTTTATGAGGTTGCCACTGTACCATCAAACTATGCACCATGTTAAGCATCATCCAGAACTGCCATTATATATTTAGTGTAGTAGGTTGATGCAACTTTGTAACCAGTCATGGATTTAAAATAGGCTTTCTACCTCTTTATTTTGGTCGGCATGTTTTGCCGGGATTTTTTAATATTGATCTGCTATATATTAATTACATTTTAGTAGATTGTTGACTGAGAAAGCCTGAACTTTTGTAGCTGGGCCTCAACCGGCCAGACATCGAGCTCCAGCAAGCACGTGTGCCTACCCTCCTTTGCCATGTGTTCCTGCAACAACAGCAGATTGTGTGTGTGTGGTACCAGCCAGATAAATACTACACAAATCATGTTCATGGTATGTTCCCAATCTTGATTTACAGACCGTGTACTGTAGTTAGTTCAGGTGATTACCAATTGATCTAAAACCAACCTCTGTACATGCATATCTCTGAGTTGACAAGAATGCACATAGCAACTTAAGCACCATTGATGAGAACATAATACTATTTCGATGATTGTCTTGTTCGTGTGCTTGTCTGAATAAAGCGCATATGTTACAGAAGAATTGAAAGATGTGAGAGCAGGCTGCCGTTGGTTAGTTCCATTAATAGTAGCTGTCATAGTATTACCTTTAGTTCAGGTAAAAGAAATAGATGTAGGAAAAAAATACCAACCTGCTTGTGTTCCCGAGAGAGTGTATTTTCTCCATACCTCACCATTCTTGATACATATGGTCATCTCTGTTCTGGACAACACACTTACGACCTCTCTTCATGGCACAAAACTGAAACTGTGCCATGACTATATTTTCCTTGCATGCTTGTCTAAATAAAGTGTGCAATACACATGGCATAGTCGCATAGATATACAAATCCGTTATTCCTGTGCTGATTTGAAGCTTGCTACTTGTGTAAGACCAGTCATAAACAAACATTTCTGTGATTGTAGCTGATTCCTGTCAGTGAAACTTTGCCATGAACATTGTTTATTCAGTGTGATAGCTGATTCCAATCATCCATCAACTAGATTTGTGATAATCACAACAACAAGCTCATATCTTACAAATCGCCTGATTGGTGATTATCCATTTTATATGATGTTTTTCATTTGCAAGTGCTGAGTTTTTTTCCTTTCAAGTTTCCCTCTCTTACTCAATTTCATTAAATATATTTCTCCTCTCATTCCATCATCCAGTCTGTCGGTTACTCATGATGAGTGATTATATGCAATCATCCGACAATAATTAGTATAGATAATTAGTTATGCCAGGTTGCTACATTTCTATCTCCTTTTTGCAATATGAAATATGATGGCATATTAATATTTAGACCCAGTCTCGTTGTCCGCTGCAGCATCACCCTTCTTTTCCGCCGCCCTAACTTTTTTGCACCCCAGACCTAGCAGGCGATAACGGCGCCACGAGGATTCGCTGCCGTGAGGAGGACCCCGACCCGTATGATGGCCACCGGAAGGTCACACACTTCTTTGGCTCGCTCAGACTGGCTCCATTGACGGCTTCTCTAAGGTATCTTCTTGTGCAGCTTCACACTTGCTTGTGTGTCTGGCAAAAAAGTAAGCTACCTGGTACCTCTCTACTCTGCTTTAGCAGGCGTTTGCAGAGGAAGCCAAGGGATACATGATACTGGTAATTTACTAATGATCCATATTGTTTGAATAATTTTGTTGCAAATATTTTCGTTGGTTGTCCTTTTATTTTATTTATAATCTTGCCTCGATCATGTCTTCCATTGTGCTTCACTGAAAGGTGTTCTGCATATGCGCGCTTGCTTGAGAATGGAATAATCTCACGAATTCTATTGAAAACAGAACTTCCTTATTTCAGTATGCTTAATGTTTGGTTTTAGTAAGAATGTGCTGATAAAGTATTTTTATTTTTACTTTACCGTGTTTAGTTCTGAGGTATTGATACTCCTGTCAATCTGCTCTAATCTGGTTTGCCGATATCCTGCAGGGATTAGACCATCCTATATCTTTTTTTTTCTGATTTTGGTTGGATACCTGCTTAGATGGGTGAACTTTTAACCCATCTTTTATTGCTTGCAGGTGTATTTGTTGGGTTCCTCTTGGCGTGTTGAACAAAAATTGGCGTTCAACACTGCTATTTCAAGATGGTTTGATCAGTACTAGGGAAAACCCATAGATGGAAGGAAATTATTGTAGGTGAGAGCATGGTACCCCGTCTCTTCCTATTTTGTTCCTTTCTTATAGTATTACTTTGAGGCATTATTCCTTATCATGCTACGCAGAGGCCCTTAGGTTTGCATTTGGGTGCTAACCGTTTAATAAACATCATGCATTAGTTAGCTATAATCCTTTATCTTTTCCACAAACATGATGATTATGTTCAGTACGATTGTCTGTTTCATATCCCAGAGATGTATCATTGTAAAGTAAGGTTTAAGGAGATCTAATCCTGGGCATATCAATGTAAGAGCACGTTTTTGTATTAGAATGCTTACTGTGTTTTACATGATGGTGTTTCTAAGAAAGTAAATTTGGTTGTGATCTTCAAATGGTCAGAAATTTAGTTAAGGGATGACAAAGCCTGAATGTGGCCACATTTTGGTGGGGAAGGAGGGATATAGTCTTTATAATTTAATCTTAGCATTACACTTCTGTGATTCTTTGACGAAATGTATCTTGATGTAGTCTTGCCTGTATTGGGACTGGGATTTAAGTCAAATGAATAACATTATTTCATGTGTATATATTTTTGAGGCTGTATAATTTCTCTTTTTTGATTGCTCATAGCATGTTCTTTTTTGATTGTTTGTTTAGGTATCTAAGAATGCTGATGATTACACTCGGAGCAAGCCTTGTTGCGGCGCTGCAAGTGTTGCCCCCCTCCTCCCCAAGGGCAAGGTGAAGGAAGGTGCCTGTGTGCTTCTTCTGCAGCTCGCAGCGAGGATTGCTGTGTCCAACCTGCACAAGAATGCCAAGAAGTCTTTCTCGGAGACGTAAGCCACGACGCATGTTTCTGCCATGATTTCCTTCAGCTGGATTTTGTGGATTTAGGTGTTGAAAAATTATGGGCTGTGGATGCAGGATTAAGGACATGTACCTGCACTACAACGAGAGATCTGGGCTGCTTCTTTGTGGCTTCCAAACTTGAAATGTTTGTTTGGAAGTTAGTTTAGTTTTTTTTTTGTGGATTCACAGCTTCTCACATGTATCATCCTCCTAGACCTTTAGATTTCCAAAGAAACTAAATGAAGATATGGTGGTATGGTCTCAATAGTACAACTTAAAGCCTTCCATGCTTTATATTTTCTCTGAAATTTTCTCTTGAAGAATCATGTATCTATGTTAGATCCGGTGAGAAAAGGCGGCTTCCAAGTAGAGGATGCGGGAGTGTTGGCCACATTTGGTTTTTGACTTGGGTGTCTAAATATTTTCGCAATACTTGGCTCCCTCTCGGCCTTTGCGCCATTGGCGCAACGAGTCATCTAGTAGAAGTATAAAGGACAATCGAATAGGTTCAACTCTATATCTTCCTGAAGAAAAAAATAACTCTAACATGGTAAGATTCGCCTCTTGGCAGGGTGGTGGAATTTGTGTGCGGGTATTTGTTGGTGCACATCTTCTCGTGACCGAAAAAACGTTCAAAGTCGGCTGGAGTCAGATAGGTCGATTAACGATGGGCTCAGGATTAACAGGCGCTACTGCAAGCAGTCATGCTCCCGGAAACTCTTTGTTGCGCCCGGGCACGCATGCTCTTTTGTACCAGCGTGGCGTTTCACACTGATCTTGAAAGCTGGTAACCGGGACAATGTCTAGCAAACTGGATGCCTATTTACAGTTTTACATCATACCCAATCGCAGGGTGACATAAAAAAAGTGTCTGAATAACATAGTGCTTATTACAAACATACCCCAAAACCAAAAGAGCCACCTTACAACAACTGCCAGAGAACTGCAAACTTCCTATGCTACTCCTTGTTGCCTTTCTTCCTTCCTGTCCCAGATGTAGCATTTTTCGTCTTCTTAGGCACAGTCTGCAGTTTCTCTTCAGGTGTGTCCTTGGTGTTGACCTAACAAAATGTCACATTCAATTTTTTAACAATGTTGGCAGCAACAATAGGTGGATCAGGTCTTTAAGGTGTTGCTCCGAGTTCCGTTTCATGGAGTGGCAACTTCACATCTGATCGTTCTGGTTGGACGAGGCAACATCGCCACTTGAGCAATGATATCTTCTATGTTGTCTTGTGCATCGTTTTCCTTGCTGAATTCCTTGTTTTGCTTGTGGATGTTGGTCCCGGGTAATAGGATAGTGAAAGAGGATAGACAAGATGACTGCCGCAAGGCTAACTTGACGGTGGCCTCTATAATTTTTTCTTTATTTTATGCAATTATTAATTAGTGGCTTGGTGCACCTGCATGCGATTCAAAGGTACGTTTAAATTGTTGTCGTTGCATTAGGGCATCTCCAACGCCGACTTTCAAACCTCCCGCAACCGTCCGGACCGCGGATGCCATCCAACGCGGTTCTGTATCGGTCCGCGGAATGGTCCGGACGCGATTTCTCCTGTAAACCGGAGACAAACGTGGGGTGCTTTACGGGAGTCTAGACACGCGAAACGTCGCTCTCCGCCCACTGGCCCTTCCAAAAGGAAGGCGGAGCCCGCATTTTTGTAGCATCCAACACCGTTTCCGCGTCAAAATCCCCCGCTTTCTTCGTCCATTCCACCCCGCTCTCCGCCTAATTCTCGCTCTTTCCCCCCATCTTCTCCTTCCTTCCGCCGCCGACGCATGGAACCGTCGGAGAACCTGTCGGAGATGGAGCCGGCGAGGTGCCGAAGGATCCGAGCATCACGCTCGCCTAGAAGACCAACTCAGAGACGCGACAAAAATCGTCGTGTCAAAGCAAAGGCAACAAAGGAGGAGAAGCTCAAGAAGCGGTTGGCCGTCGGTGGGCCTGGTGGTGGCGATGGGCGTGGAGGTTGTGGCGGACGAGGCGGTTAGCGTGGCCATGGTGGATGCCTGCAGATAGGCACGCCGACAGTAGAGACAGCGCTGCGGCCGGAGTCCTACAAGCCTCCGTGCTACTACACTGCCAAGCAGCTCGGAACCCCCGCCAGTACGGTGCCTTACATCGTCGACGTTAACACGGCGCCGCTCTTCTCAGAGTATTCTTTGCCGCAGCTCGTCCTGGCGCGGCCGGCGACCGGGGAGCAGATGGGTGGCCGCGTGCTGTTCGCTACAATGCCCAGAGCGGGGGAGCCAGTGTACGACACGGATAGGGAGATGCTCGACATCATCCATGACGGAGGCGAGGAAGGAGGAGGGGTCTATGAGGACGGGCTGGTGGAAGACTTGGATCCCACCCAATCCGGTAACTACCAGCAGCAGTCCTACACCCAGACGGCCACGAAGCGGTCCTACACTCAGACCAACGATGACACACAACAATAACAACACCATTGGGCCGCCAGAGAGCAGCATCCGGAGGGGTTGGAGAGGAGGAGGAGGACGGCAACAACGATGATCCAAATGATACAACTGGCGATCCGAAGAAGAAGGGTAGAGGAGAGAGTTTCAACATGCGGGAGGATAAGCTATTGTGCGATGCATGGTTGGCCACTAGCCTTGATCCTCGCCATGCCACGGAGCAAAAGGGAACAACCTTTTGGAGGAACATTCACGTATGGTTTCATGAACACAAACATTTCACGCCCTACTCTGACGCGGTCATCCGCAACCGTGAGTGGAAGTCCCTGAACCAATCGATGGTACACCATCCAAGAGGCCATGTCCAAGTATTGTGGGCACTTGGTATCTCATCGCACGGTGGTCTAGCGGTGCACAAATCATGGAGCAAGTAAGTTGATCACTAGCCAGATATGCTTTAGTTTTGTTGATCACTAGCCGGGCATGTATTGCTTTGTTGCTCACTAGACGGATATGCATTGTTTCACTTTGTAGCCTACTCGTGCTTGTGTGGTGTACAAGAAGTTGGAGAAGAAGTCCTTCACCGTCATGCATTGTTAGTTGAAGTTAAATGGTCAACCAAAGTGGAACCGCAACCCAAGCCAATGAGGAAGAAATCGGTGACCCTACCGACCCAACGCAAGAACCGCCGAAGAAAGTTAGAAGAAATTTATGGGGTAAGAAGTGGGAGGAGGAGAGGGCAAAGCGAGAAGGTGCGGCGGCTAAGCTGATGAAGAGGTTCGAGGAGATCTTGGCGAAGAAGGAGGAGGCATGCATGAGGAGCTCGAACATCAAGGAGGAGAGGAAGGCGGAGAGGTTCAAACAGTTGATGGAGGCGACAGAGAAAAAGATCAAGCTTGAAGAGAGGAAGGCCACGCTCGAGGAAAAGAGGGCGGTGATCACCGCCAATGCGGAGGACGTCAACATGTTGACCTTGAATGTCGACTCTTTTGGATGCCAACGCTAGAATGATCGTGCAATCCGTCCGCTACCAGATGTTGCGGCGGCACAAAGATGAGTTGGCGGAGGCGGACGCGGAGGTTGCCTACACAGCAGCGACGACACCTTCTTGATCGGGGAGCAGCTTGCTGGGATTATCGGTCTAACATGGCAGAAATGCATGGACTGCCAGACTAATGTTCTTTTGGACTTGGGCATGTAAAGACTAAGCATATTTGCCTCTTTTTGGTTGTGATCGGAGATGCGATCCGACGTGTTATGTGGATCAGGGTACATTTGAATTTGAATTCACTGACGGACATATACATGATATGGTTGGTTGGATGCCTCCCGCATCCGCATGCGTGGATCGCGCACGGATGCCGGAGGAAATTTGCTGGTTGCCGTTGTAGCCATAACTTTACACCTAATTTATATGCTTTATTATGTTGCATGTTGCAGCAAAATACTCCAAAGATTCTCAAAGACATTACCATACCTTGCAATTGCATTTGTCATGAGTATCAGTTGTGTGCAACTGAAATTAAAATGCCAGCTTCTCTCTCTTTTCTCCACTTTCCTTCGGGAAAGATTCTTCCTTCCAGATCCAGTTAACATATGGACCCCTTGAATGGATAATGTAGCAACCACGGATTCCAGGATTCTTTTCTCATGACTAAGGCCGGCCTCGCTTCTCACTGTGTGCCGGACACTATTAAAAGTTTAAAACTTGGATAACTCAGGCGACTCGCTGTTGCTTATTCGATCAACATCATCCAAACAGACAGAATTCTATCTACTATAATCCGCAAGGCATCGCTGGGTTTCTTGGTTCCTTCAATCATAGACATAGAGAAGAGGGAAGGGAACCTAATAATCCTACCCCCACCTCCATCACACCTACTAGATGATGGAGACAACAACGCCACTTGCTGGATGGATGGATAGTACAAAGCAGATAAGATAATCCCGTCTTCCCCGCTGGATGGATTAGGACAAATGAGCCGCGCCACGTCATGGGCCATTAATTAACTGGTACTCCTAATTGGTCGTCATCATCATCGTCTCGTCTCGATCCACGGCCGGCCGGCCGTGATCTGAGCGTCTGATCCACCGCTAGTAGCTCCACCGCTCGTTCTCCTGGCCGTCCTCGCCGGTGGCCGCCGGCAGCTGCGAGTAGAAGTCCAGCTCGAAGCACCTCGCCTCCTCCTCCCTCCGTTTGGCTGCGTAGTACTGGTGCGCCAGCGCCGCTCCGCCGAGTGCGGCAGCGACCGTGAACCCCGCCGCCTTGCCCCGCCGCCGGCCGCACGCCACCGAGGCGCCAACCGCCGTCGTCCACATCGCCCCTGCATCCACGGCAAAGACGCAGCCAAAATTAGTGCCCGGTCTCGCATCACAACTACGTACAAGAACACCGATCAGAGATCGCGGGAGGGAAGGGGGGACCGAGGGGCTGAGACTAACCGACGGTGGCGAGCTTGTGCTGGTCCGCCCAGGACTGCACCGACGAGCTCATCTTCTCCATCTCCGGTGGACGAGGTTCCTAATCTCTTACAGTGATTCTCGGACCGGATGACTTTTTTTGGGAATGGGGAATTGGATGGGATCAGCGGGTCAGGTTGGTGGCGTATTTGTAGCTGCGCTGCGCGCCCACTGGCTTCTATCGATCGTCAGCTAAAAGGAAAAGGATAAATGAAACCAGTGGCCCAGCCACCAGTTTCTGTCGCGGTTTGCTTCGTTGGGTTGCCTCTCTATTCGGAGGTAGCCCGAGGTTTTATGAGGTCCTTCTTATCCAGGTTGCTCGCCATCACACTGACACGTGGGACTTAAAGTAGCGCGTCGGGACCACCGTCTGTCCCACGAGTGCGTGATAGCTTTAACAAACTATTTTTTTTCTTTTCTTTTCTGAAAAAACATTTTTTGTAGACAGGTTGGACAAGCTTTCACTGCTAAGGGTGCCCTGTATCACACCGTTGTGAACTCTTCCCAATATGACATCCGCAGCTCATCAAATTATCCTAAATGTTTGAAATGAACGGTTCAAAACATTTTTAGGCCTTCAATGCAGCTCACCAAATCGGACCAGACTGATTCAGATGTTTGAAATCCTCTATGTCGGCCCAAAATCGGGGAGCTCTTGAGGAGCTCATACGTCTGCCGACTTCCAACAACTCAGTCCTATCCGAAAACCCTCTCCGGCTCTAGAACCCCAATCACTGAAGCCGCTATCACCGTCTCGCCGTCTAGTCGCATTCATGTTGGCGCGCCGCCCGAGAAGCCCACTTCGGATCTTAAAACCGGTTGGCGTCTTCCCAAAACCTATCATCTGACTCCCCCTATCTGAGAGTTGTCACACACAATACCTCCATCGGCCGCCGCAATGGGCAAGAAGACCAAGGCAAAGAACACTCGAGCATGGTGGCTGCTCGGCGGCTACCGCTCGGAATAACCTCCGCTACACCAGGACTACAAATCTGAGGGGGGGCTTCGAGCGAATCCATGATACCTCCCTCGATCATCGGGTTCATCTTCATCCACCGCTTCGCCCGCCACGAAGGAGGAGTTGCTCTCAAATGACGACGTCTTGAAGGAGAAGCCCGTGAAGGAGGTGGAGCCCGCCCTACCCGCGGCAACAAACGCTGAGTTTATGCAGCGCCTTTGTTCACAATGTGGAAGTCGTTGGCCGACCGAGGTTTGGCGACGCAGACCCCTCCCCATAACCACAGTGTCCAAATCAGACACTACGGGCAGTCGTCCCCGCCGCCTTGGTGCCAAATGGTGCCCGACCCCGGTGAAGCAAGAGTCCTCCCAACCAAAGCCCTGTAGCCACCTCGACTACTACCTCCAATGTAGCGGGCCGTTCTCGTCATCAGGGGAATCCAAATGTCTTGACGGGCTAGAGGAGCATTGGGCACAATGCTCAACGATGTTCGCCAAGGCCAAGGGGGCACTGACGAAGCTATGTACCTAGGGTAGGGTCATGGACCTGTCCAAACTGCCCTACCCAAGGACATCTCTAGAAGAAATCACCTTTCAATCGACTTGGAGGTGTTCCACTCGACAGACTCGAAGACACTCGACCAAGAAGCGATCACTCGACCAAGACCAAACCACTCGACGGCCAGGAGACCTAAAGGCACTCCGCATGCTAACGGTCGGTTATTAAGTAGCCTTTATGGTCATCATAACACTTTATTAGGGGCGTTACCAGTAACGCCCGACCTTAATGTATTTAAAACCCTGCATAACTGAGGGCTGGAGGGGTCCGGCGAACTCTATATAAGCCACCCCCTCCTCGGTGTAAAGGGTTCGCACCCCTATAATTCATACACGCATAATCCAGTCGACCGCCTCCGGGCTCCGAGACGTAGGGCTATTACTTCCTCCGAGAAGGGCCTGAACTCGTAAACCTCGTGTGCTTACAACTTCTCCATAACTAAGATCTTGCCTCTCCATACTTACCCCCCTACATTACTGTCAGACTTAGAACCACGACAGTTGGCGCCCACCGTGGGGCAGGTGTTTTAGCGATTTGTTGGAGGAGTTGCGATCTTTTCCAATCCGAATCATCATGGTTTCCGGCGGAGTTTTGGTGGAGGGCCGCGAGATCCGTCTCGGCGCGCTCACGTTCATCGCCGATGACTCTGCTTGGCTTCAGGAGGCTCCGCTCGACGTGGACGCGCTCCTTGTCCGCGGGGCGACGCACTTTCGCGCGTGCGTCCACGGCATCCTTTTGCGGCAACCGTCGACCCACTATCGGTCGGCTCCTGTGCTGTCCTCCCTCCCTGTCTTCCGCCGGCGCAAGCGCTCCGGTCGGTCGAGACTTCAGCGGTGGGTGAGACACGCGGTGGCACGCTAGTCGGCCACCCCTCAAGTCGCGGCGATCGAGCCCGACGAATCCCTCTACGGCCTGTTCGATCTATCGACTGGCTCTACAAAGACCGCATCCGAGTGCGACAGCAGTGATCCGGCGGCGGAGGTTCTGATGGTCTATGGACCGCCCAGTCCTCCCGGTTTTCCCCGCACCGACGGAGGCGCGGGTGGAGGCGACCCATCGCGTCCCCATGAGGAATATCTCCCCGAGCCTCTCACGTCGTTGCAGAGAGAAGAACTTCGTCGCCGGAACATGGATGCGCTGCACAGTCCCATCGTCGAAGAAACCCCCGAGGCTCGTGCCTTGGAGGACGCGCGCCTGGCAAACTTGGACGAGCGCACTCGACTAGAGAACCTCCAGCGAGCACTCGACGAGCGTGCGCGATAATGGGTTCCCGAATCCAGTCGATGTCAGCTCTTCCCGCCTCCGCAGGTATATCGAACTTCGATTCAGAATTTAGCAGCTGCGGCCCATATAGCAGAGTCGATTCAGCCTTCCCAGTCGGAGGCTGGCAGAGGCTTGCTGCAGATCAGAGCGTTACTCTGGGCAGCAGGAGACCAGAATTCCGCTGTTTCTCAGTCGCGGAACAGGATTCACAGCAGATCCGTTGCTGCAGACACAGTCCAGTCGGCTCATAGCCCAAGATCGCCCCCGAGGCGTGAGGGACGTGGGGACCGGCGTAATCAGTATGAGAACCGTGAGCAATATGATCACTGATTCGATCATGACGATCGACGTCGAGTGCCCACCCCTCCCCCGAGGAGCGGGTCGTATGCGCCTCGACAGCAGGATGACAGGCGCCCTCGTAGTGTTGGGCGAAGGATTCCAGTCGACTCCAGGGAGCCAGGCTTTGATGCGAGATCCATTCTCGTTCAAGGTTTGGTCGACAGGAACAGAGCTCACCGAGAAGGTCACGACAGAGACGCACCTACCAGCAGCAGAGCACATGTTTCGGGGCCAGAGTGCTTTAGTAGAGCCATCAGGGCCGCTGTGATTCCTCCCAACTTCAGGTTGGCGACTGGAGTCAGCAAGTTCACTGGTGAGTCCAAGCCCGATACTTGGCTTGAAGACTACCGAGTGGCCGTCCAGATTGGCGGCGGCAATGATGAAGTGGCCATGAAGCACCCGCCTCTCATGTTGGAGGGCTCGGCCAGAGCGTGGCTGAACCAGTTAGCACCCAGCAGCATTTACACTTGGGAAGATCTCGCCCGAGTGCTTGTCACCACATTTGAAGGAACATGCAAGTGACTGGCAGGGCTGACGGAACTGCGGTCTTGCATGCAGAAGCCGAATGAAACTTTGAGGGATTACATCCAGAGATGGATCACGTTACATCACACGGTAGAGAATGTGCCTGACCACCAAGCAGTCTGTGCCTTCAAAGAAGGCATCAAGTATAGAGAACTGAATCTGAAATTCGGTCAGACCGGAGATATGTCTCTGAATCGGATGATGGAGATTGCCACCAAGTACGCTAATGCTGAAGATGAGGATCAACTCAGCAGTGGCAAGCTCAAGTCAGTCGCTCAAGAAACTGGAGGAAATTCCAATCGGAAACAGAAGCGGAAAGCCGAGCCAGCTGCTCCTGGGGAAGCCTTGGCTGTAACCCAAGGAAAGTTTAAAGGGAAACCCAAAGGACCTTGGAACCCCAAGAAAGTTAAAGACCAGGACGGAAATGATGTGTTGGATTTGCCATGTCTCGTCCACACCAAGAAAGATGAAGAGGGTAACTTCATTTACCCGAAACATACCACTCGACAGTGTTGACTCTTGATCCAGCAGTTCCAGGGCAAGCAGCCCAAAGATAAGGAAAATGAGTCGGACAAAGTTGAGGACAAGGAAGATAGTGACGATGGATACCCCCAGGTCAATTCCACCCTGATGATTTTTGCTGATGTTGAAAGCAAAAGTCGACTGAAAGTTATCAACCGAGAGGTGAATATGGTTGCTCCGGCGACACCCAGTTATCTGAAGTGGTCTCAGACTGCCATAACATTCGATCGGTCCGATCACCCAACGCACATTGCCACCCCTGGGAGGCAAGCTTTGGTGGTCGACCCAGTTGTTGAAGGCACTCGACTGACCAAAGTCTTGATGGATGGTGGCAGTGGTTTGAACATATTATATGCTGAGACGTTGAAAGGGATGGGCATTCCAATGTCCAGACTCAGTACCAGCAACATGAGTTTCCATGGAGTCGTTCCTAGGAAGAAGGCTGAATCACTCGGCCAGATTGCTCTTGATGTGGTTTTCGGTGATTCCAAGAATTACCGCAAAGAAAGGTTGACGTTTGAAGTTGTAGACTTCCAGAGTGCCTATCACGCTATTTTGGGCAGGCCGGCTTATGCACACTTCATGGCCCGACCATGTTATGTGTATCTCAAATTGAAGATGCCTGGCCCCAAAGGTGTGATCACTATTATGGGCAATCGGAAGAAAGCGGAAGAATGTTTTCAGAAAGGTTCAAAGATCGCTGATGCTCAGATGGCAGTGGTGGAGCTGCAGGAATACCAGAAGACTGCTGACCCAAGTGATTTGTTGTGAGCCAAGAAGCCCGCTACAGAATCAGCTTTTCAGTCGTCTAGCGAAACGAAGACAGCTCACATCCACCCGACCGATCCCAGCGCTGCTCCAACTCATATCTCAACAAC